TCCCACGTACAGCAACTAGAAGGATGTGCAGCTATGACATACAACTATCTACTGGGGCTTTGGGGGAAAATAAATAAATAAATAAAATTATAAAAAAATAAAAATAAAATAAAACTCATAGGGAAACTGGTCCTGGAATGGGCCAATCATATTTCAGTATGTCAGTGAAAGTCTGACTTCATCGGTTTTTTTTTTTCCTAAGGAATATTCACCCTGAGCTCACATCCGCTGTCAATCTTCCTCTTTTTGTATGTGAGCTGTCAACACAGCATGGCCACTGACAGACGAGTGGTGTAGTTCCATGCCCGGGAACCAAACCTGGGCCACTGAAGCAGAGTGCGCCGAACTTAACCACTAGGCCACCGGGGCTGACCCTGACTTTATCTTAAGACTAAAAATCACAATTGTCCAATCAGGAACCATGCATAGTCAATCAAGGAACAGCCACTGATTCAGCAACGTGGTGGACAGTTGTCATTTTTTGGTCTCTTTGCATTCTCAGTCCTTTCCATCTGGGGCCCCTCTCTCCCTGATTCTCAGCCCAGGGGCTTCCAGGAAAGTGGCTGGCACCTCTGGCCTTGTGATGAGTTCAGAGGTGGGCAGGACTGGCAGCACTGTGGGACAGTGACACATTACTCACTCCTATTCCATTTTGTTAACAAAATCTCATTTCTGTCTAGGGTGGCAGTGTATCCAGCTCCCAGTGATGGATCACGATACATTAAAGATAGTCATGACAATTCTGTTTTCTATTCATCTACCCTGATGGCAGCAAGGAATGGCAAAGTGACCTAGTACTGATCAATGAGATATAAGGTGTCATCCGCTGGACACTTCTAGGGGATCTTTTCCTCTTCGTTTAAAAAAAAGAAACACCAGAGAGGTACTTCTTTTCCCCCTTCTTCCTGCTTTGAACACAGGTATGACGCCACGAGTTGCAGCAGCCATCTCACGCCCAGAGGACAAAGGCTAAGAGAACTGCAAGGATGCTGGGTCTGACACTACTGAGCTGCTGAACCACACTGGGCTGCCACTTACCACCAGATTTATTGTTACGTGAGAAAAACCAACTCCTCTTTGTTCAACTACTTGCTAGCTGAGTTTTCTGTTTCTTGTAGCCAAAAGCATTCTTTTTTTTTTTTTGGTGAGAAAGATCAGCCCTGAGCTAACATCTGCCAATCCTCCTCTTTTTTTTGCTGAGGAAGACTGGCCCTGAGCTAACATCCATGGCCGTCTTCCTCTACTTTATATGGGACGCCGCCACAGCATGGCATGACAAGCAGGGCGTTGGTGCCTGCCGGGGCATCCAAACTCGTGAAGTCTAGTCCACTGAAGCGCAGCACGTGCACTTAACCCCTTGAGCCACCAGGCCGGCCCCGAGCCAAAAGCATTCTTAACTGACTTGCCAAGTGATTCAGTCAGAGCCAAAGAAACACAAAAACACTTCTGCTAGGCACATCCTCTCAGTCTTTCCTTCTGGACAACAATGAGGCAGGGTGCAGCCCTAGAAATAGCTACAGATACCTCACAACCACATGGAGGACATGAGCCTACCTGAGGACAGAGAGCCAGGGGACAGAGGGAGACAGTGAATGCCAATAATATCACTTAACTCCTTTACTAGCCATGCCTAAGGCAAGGTCTGTCCTGGACTTAGCGTGAGCCAGTATCTTTCTTTTTTGCTTAAGCCAGTTTGGTTTTCTGACACTTGCAATTAAGTAAGTCCTAACTAATAGAAATAAGCTCTCATTTCTTCAGCAGTGAGCCAACCAGCTCCAAACTCTAAATCTCATTCTTGACAGGTCAGCTACTATGATCAAGACTGAGAAGGTCACAACCAAGAAAAGTGGGTACCACTCACCTTCTTCTTGTGTCTTCTGTTCAAGTTTCATCTTCTTTGCCAATAATTTCTTCTCTTTTAACTTCTGGCTACAAATGCAAAATAAATAGTCATGTGCCAAATAATGACGTTTCGGTCAATGACGGACTGCATATATGATGGTGGTCCCAAGAGGTTAGTACCATATGGCCTAGGTATGTAGCAGGCTATCCCATTTAGGTTTATGTAAGCAAACTCTATGATGTTCACACAACGCCTAATGACACATCTCTCAGAAGGTATCCCTGTCGTTAAGTGACACATGACTTACATTAATTTCTTAACGACCTTAGTGTATATTTTAGAAAATAAACATCTACTTACAGGATCTTTAAAGACTTATAATTACACAAACACTACAATAATAAAATGAAAGAAATACTTTCTCATGATTCTGCTACTCCAATATCATCATCATGAAGCTGTTTTCTTCATGGACCAAGAACAAATCCTCGTGAGTCCTGAGGTGATGAAAGCAATCTCAGAAATGCTGGAGATGCTTTTTCATCCCAGATATTTAGGGACTGTCTTTAGAATCCTGCATGGCTCTCTAAAAGTTGAGGGAGCATTTATTAAAACACACACACACAGGCAGCCTGTATACTCAAGTAGTCACTTAAGGAGGTCACAGACCTTAAGGAAGAAGCTAAATTGGAAGTTTGCTCACAGCATCTTGTTAAACTTGACATTAAAATACAGACATGAAGGAGACACAGAAATCCATGCGATCACCAAAGTGCTGACCTCCAAGCTTTGCAGAATCTGCAACAATTTTGAAACTGGCAAACAGCCATTGATGATTAAGCAGCTAGTAACTATGGGGGATTGGAATTTGCCAGCTCAGAATATGTCTCTGCCTGAATGACATTTTGGCCCCCACCCACCACTAACTAACCAAAAGAGTTTGGGATGGGAGACCTGCCCCCAGAATAGGCCATCACCATAGACATCTCGGTGTCTGGGTGGGTCCATGCTAAGCCCATTCTTAGCTCTGGTTACCCTTTATGCTACATTTACATTTGAAAAGAAAAATTTCCATCTGTAAAGGTATCTTCTTCCCTATACCAGGAAGAAGGGGGGGATGGCCTTACCTAGAAACTTATTAGAACAGAAGATGAGGACTTAAATCTGCATAATAAACTTACGCATTGTTAACTGTGCTGTTTGGGCAATATGCTATCTGACTCCCACTAGGTTCCTATAGGTAACATCCCCCTGGAGTCGGGGTCACCATGGTAATGGATGTTTGAGCTATTTTTCTCAGGAACTGAACTGCTTGTCTACTTGGGGCAGACTGAGACCACCAACCCATCAACTGGGCCCTTTTGACGGCAAGAGGTTAGAACTCCACCCTCAGGGCAGGCTAATGCCGCCATTCTGTGAACATGTGTCCTACGGAGAAACATGAAGCCTGACTATGCTTGCGCAGATCATCAATTACCTCATCTCTCCTCACCTCCAATCATTTCAGACCATCTTGCCCCCTTCCCCATAAATACCCGAGTCCCTATTTTTGGGGAGGCAGATTTGAGACTTGTTCTCCCATTTTCCTCACTTGGCTGCCTTGTGATTAAACCCTCTCTCTCTGCAATCTGGTCGTCTCGGTGATTGGCTTTCTGGGCGGCAGGCAAAAACAGACCTGGTGCGGTAACAATTTCAAGGAGCTGTGGAGACTGGCAATAAGTGACCTGATCTCTCCCCCAAGTACTAGAAGAAAAGCCCTTCCTCTACCGGGTTGCTCCACTGTGGGTTGTAACACCCAAGACCTCTACAGGTCATATAGGTGAACTTCTGACTGCAAGAAGGACTCATTCACCAGTCATCTACCCTCCCATTTCCTGCCCTTAAGTCTCATTAGTTATGGGATGCTGCAAAGCCCTTACCGCTTTTTTCGACGCTTTGCAGTTTGCTCCTCTGCAGCAATTTTATTCCTTTCCAGTCTCTTCTGAAACTCTGCATCCAACTTTTGCTGCAAAAAACGACCATATCATTTAGACACACTCGGGGCTGGGTATGAGAGTCATACCACTGGGGGCGCTATAGGCACATCCAGGTCTCCAGGGCCACTTTAAGGGGGAGCAGATCAATATATGGCTCTCTAATGGCTAAGGAACTCTTTCAGTCCATTAAGATACCACTCATGCACAACAAAATATGAGAGAGACAAAGTATGAGAGGGAGCACACTATGTATTCCTTGAGGGCAGGGGCAGCACTACCAGCTCTGTTTGGCCAGGGTATTGGATAGTGTGACTTTTAACAAGAAATATGTATTTGGTCTTTGTCCACTGTTTCTGGCACATAGCTCCTAAAACCCTTATACACTCCCTATATAAGAGCCACAGGGGGATCTTGTATTATATTTAGTTTTGTTCGCCGCACAAGAGCACAAGAAATATGTATTTGGTCTTTGTCCACTGTTTCTGGCACATAGCTCCTAAAACCCTTATACACTCCCTATATAAGAGCCACAGGGGGATCTTGTATTATATTTAGTTTTGTTCGCCGCAGTTCCTGAAATAGCTCCAGAGATAAATGTGAAATGGGTGGCTTTTGTTATTCATAACAAGCCCCTTTCAACCACACAAGTTGATGTTAATAAGTGACGTTTGGAAAGCCCCTAAGGAAGAGGGGTGGTTGTCAGGGGAACCTTCTGCCCCATTTCCTGACCTCCAGGGAGTGAGAGTGGCTGGAGGCTAAATTAATCACCAACGGCCAATGATTTAATCAATCATGCTTTCTTAGTGAAGCCTTCAAAACCCCCAAAAGGATGGGGTTTGGATACCTTATGGGTTGGTGGACATGCGGAGGTGCTGGGAGAGGGGATGGAAGCTCTGTGCCCCTTCCTCCATCTGGCTGTTCCTGAGTTATACTCTTTTATAATACACCAGAAATCTAGTAAGTAAGATATTTTCCTAAGTTCTGCGAGCCCCTCTAAGCAAATTAATTGAACCTGAGGAGGGGATCATGGGAAATCTCCGATTTACAGACAGTCCCTCAGCAGCACAGTTGACAACCCTTCAAGTGGTGGTGGGCAGGAGGCAGTCTTGCAGGACTGAGCCCTTAATCTATGGGATCTGACCCTATCTCCAGGCAGACAGCATCAGAACTGAGTTAAATTACAGGACACTCAGCTGGTGTCACAGAATTGCTTGGTGTGGGGCAAATCCCCACACATCCAGTGACCAGAAGAGTCAGAAGTGTAATAGAGTATGAGAGCAGAGGAGACACACAAGAGTGGGTTTTTTCTTTACAGACAGTGACTGGAGCTCATCAGATGGACCGGCCAGAGGGCCGGAAGCATGGAATTTCCAAGTCCTAACTAGCTACAGATATCAAATGACCGATTCGAAAGCTACCTAACACATACTGCCATCACCTGCTACTAACACACACACACACACACACACACACACACACGTACGTATATATACCTACACATATATATCCATCCCTTGAATTATTTCTTCCTAGCAGCTCCCTGCTTCTAAGCCTCAGTTTCCTCATCTATAAAATGGGGGAAATAATAATTTCTCTCTCCCAGAGCCTTTAGGAAGAAAAATGAAATGCAACAACCTATAGGAAAGCACTTGTAAACTACAAAGACATCTACTAATATCAAGTGTCATCTCTATTTCTTCTAGTCACAGCCATAAAGGTCAATGGTCTGCACTTCCAAGCTGTGTGGATCTGCTTAGAGTGACACAGAAACTCTCTGAGAACAGAAATTATAGGAAGGGTCTCCTTGCAAGAAGGAAATCAGCTTTATTAGAGGACAACTAGAAAGCAAACTAAAAGCACTTGGTTTGTTTAGAAGCTGAGCTGTAAACGTCTCACTCTGTGCTGCTGAAGCAGCTACACTGACCAAGTGAACTGAACAGGGCCCTCGGGCTGCTGAACTTGGCTGCAAGGCTCAAGCAGGAGCAAGTCAGATGTGCTCTGTTGGTGGCGACGTCCTATCAGTCACTGGGAAAGGGGAGAATGCTCTTGCCTCTCTTCTTTTTCTTCTAACCTCAGAGCCTATCTTTCACCAGGTGAAATAAAAACCTTTGCACCTATGTGGATTCAAGGTTTGTGAAACATTTTTCTGTATTTTCTCTGGGTCTTTAATCAATATATAAAAACTTCAAACTAACTGATGGTATTTCAGACAACAAGCTTGCTCTATTTCCTCCCCTCTAAAGTAGTTTAAAAATAAAATAGTCTGTATATACAAAGTTTTGTGTACCCCTGAGAGTGGCAAACCCATCACAGCGACCTGGTATAACTGTGTAACAAACCACCTGAGGGCCGGCCCTGTGGCTTGGTGGTTAAGTGCGCGCGCTGCAATGCTGGCGGCCCGGGTTCGGATCCCGGGTGCGCATCGAGGCACCACTTCTCCGTCCATCCTGAGGCCGAGTCCCACATACAGCAACTAGAAGGATGTGCAGCTATGACATGCAACTATCTGCTGGGGCTTTGGGGGGAAAAAATAAAAAAAAAAAAAATCTTTAAAAAAAAAAAAAAAAAAAACAAACCACCTGAAACTTCCCAGAGGAATTGAGAATGTCACAAACAGGGTGGCAGGAGCTGGAGAAGAACCACCACCATCTAGGGACCAAGAAAGGCTGCAGGAGAAGCAAATACAGATGAAAACCACCGCGGCAATGATCCCATTCTGTTCCAAAATCATAGTTTTCAAACTCAATTTTGGCCATTCCAATCAATATCTATATATTTTCTTCTGTATCTTGTCTGTCTCTTTTGGTTTAATATTTCCCCTAGTGTTTTATGTTGAAAAATTTCAAACACAGAAAAGTTGCAAGAATTACACAGTGCATATGCCAACTACCTAGATTCTACAACAGACATTTTGCTACTTGCTTTATCACATATCTATCCACCTGTCTATACCTCTATCCATCCATCAATCCATCTTATTTTTTTTTATGCATTTCAAGGTAAGTTGCAGACACCAGAACATTTCACTTCTAAAGATTTAAGCATGCATATCACTAACTAGAGTTTAATATTTATTTATGGTTTTCCTTTTTTTTTCCATTTAAGGTAATACTTATATACAACAAAACGCCCAAATCTTGAGTGTACAATTTTGATCACCCCAGATACCTCTTCCCAGTTAACTCCTCACCCAACTCCCAACTGCGTCTCCCAACAGAAACAACTACTGTTCTGATTTTTTTTCACATAGATGAGTTTTACCTGTTGTAGAACTTCATATAAATGGAACCATACAATATGGTTTCGTTTGTACAAGACTTCTCCCATGCAGCATGTCTTTAAGAATCACCCCTGTTGTTGCATGTATCAGTAATTTGTTCCTTTTTATTGCTAAGTAGTATTCTATTTTTATGAATGTAGTTTAATTTTTTTCTCTTTTTTTGGTGAGAAAGAGTAGCCCCGAGCTAACATCCATTGCCAATTCTCCTCTTTTTGCTGAGGAAGATTTGCCCTGGGCCAACATCTGTACCCATCTTACCTTACATGTGGGACGCCTGCCACAACATGGCTTGATAAGCAGTGCGTAGGTCCAGGCCCAGGATCTGAACCTGTGGACCCTGGGCTGCTGAAGCAGCCCGTGTGAACGCAACCACTATGCCACCGGGCTGGCCCCTGTTTTAATTGTTTAAAGTATTTTATCTCCTTTATATAGGAAGAAATTCTAATTTTCTATATAAGAAGAGTGTCTAATTTTTTTAAACCAAATTATTGGAAAATCAAATGCTATTGGGTAAAGTGGTTTCCTCTTTCATAAAAAGCAGACAAATGAATATCATTTTAAAGTATCTGCGGGCCGGCCCTGTGGCTTAGCGGTTAAGTGCGTGCTCTCTGATGCTGGCGGCCCGGTTTCGGATCCTGGGCGCACACCGACGCACCGCTTCTCCGGCCACGCTGAGGTCGCGTCCCACATACGGCAACTAGAAAGCTGTGCAACTATGACATACAACTATCTACTGGGGCTTTGGGGCGAAAATAAATAAATAAATCTTTAAAGTATCTGCATCTCTCTAAAAGGCACAGATGTATTCCACGAAGTAACAGGCATCAGGGTCAGACCAAGGAAAAGGACTTTTCCAGTGCATGCTGTAAGATTAAGAACAAGGGGCAATCTCTCATGCACAGTATTAAGAGGAGAAATCAGATCTACAAAATCACAAAGAATTAGCCAAATAATATTTGATTTTTATTAATAGTAAGGTAGGTAAATAGTGGAGCGCTATACACAGGGCTGTATTCTTTTCCTGATTCTCACTAATAGCTAATAATAAAATATAAAGGACCACTTAGCACCACTGCAATCAAACAACTTAAAATAGCTTTAAACAAATGTGGTGAGATATATGCCAAATTTCCAAAAATCACAACTGAGAAATACAAAAAGATTTAAACAAATGAAAAAAAGACAGTTTCTAGAGGAGATGACTAAACACTGTAACATCCATTCTCGTTCAAGTTAAGTGAAAGAATTAACTCAATTCTAGCAATGGTGTGGATAAAAGAACTCCAAAATGCAATTCAAAAAATAAAACAAGTGAAATGTCCAAAAGAGTATTTTTTGTGTGTGTGTGTGAGGAAGATTAGCCCTGAGCTAACATCCGTTGCCAATCTTCCTCTTTTTGCTGAGGAAGATTGGCCCTGGTCTAACATCCGTGCCCATCTTCCTCCACTTTATATGGGACCCCGCCACAGACTGGCTTGATAAGCGGTGCGTCGGTCCACGCCCGGGATCCGAACCCGTGAACCCCAGGGCGCTGAAGCAGAGCGGGCGAACTTAACCACTACACCACTGGGCTGGCCCCCAAAAGAGTATTTTTAAGAGCAACAGGAGAGAGGTTTTGGCTCTTCCAGTCAAGTAATAGAAAGCTTAACAGTTCTTATAGCACAATTTCTAAAGCAATTCTTGGTTCTAAATCAATTATTATTGGAGACCGATCATGAAGAAATGCCAGCCTCTAAGCTAGAAAACTCAAAGCAGCAGACACATGAAAGCACACTACTATTCACACCAAACACACAGCTAACTGGAATTATAGGTGTTCAGCCAAAAAGAGAGAGAACAATAGAGAAATAGTAACTCAAGTGGTGTGGGAGATCCCACTTTCTACTCCATTTCATGGCAAATGGCCTGGAGGGGAAAGCAGACTCTGTTGTGTCCTTCTACACGCATGGAAGTCTCCCTCCCCTCATTCATCTCCTAATGTGAGCATCTTGCTGTGCTGAGTCTGACCTAAGAGTCTACTTGATGTCTGTTTCCCATGCTGACTTGAGAAGGCAGCCCTCGCACAAGCAACAACCAGGTATATCTACTGTTCTTCCGATACTTTTCTCTAAAAGTTCTAAGTGCACACTGCCCAAACCTAAGGGCTCAGCCAGCCTCCTCGCTCACTGACCTTCTCAGCCATGGCATCCATGTAGTCCTGTCGCTGGTACTCTCTCCGGCGCAGATGCCTGTACACATGGAACTCTCCACTGCCGGCCCCTGCGCTTGAACCTATAGCCGAGACAGTCCAGAGGTCTTGATGAAATCCAGCTGCCAACACAGGCTACCCTTAATCAAAAGGGAACCAAAGAAAGAAACTGAAAGTAATGGAAGGGATTATGCCTGCCCTATTCCCCACTGTACTCCAGAATCGAGCACAGTGCCCGGCATAGTGGAGGCATCATTCAATATTTGTGCATAAATGCTGGATGCGAAGTCACTAAAAATTCCACTCTAATGCAGTATTAAGAGGAGAAACAGCCTGTGGTTCAGTAACTAAAAACCTAGGAGACAGCCTACGACCTTTCCCCACCCCCCCACCAGATGATTTCACATTTCACATGCTAAATTTCTACTTACTTGAAAAGACGTCCATGATATAATAAGTGAAAAAAGTAGGTTACCAAATAGTACGGGGAGAATAACCATATTTTTGTAAAAACATTTTTTCTTAAGCATGAGTGGTTTGACTATTAAAAAAAAGGTTGATTATAAAGCATGAGCGGTTTGACTATAAAGAGGTTTGGAAGGCTATCTCAGAATGTTACAAGTAGAATGATGGAATTACAGGTGCTTCAAACTTTTTCATAGCTCTATTATTTATTTTTATTTATAATTAGGATATGTTAATTTACAACCCAACAAAACAATAAAACTATTCCCATGTAGAAAAAAACAATACGACACATTATTAAAAACAACGCAGAAGAAAATTCTCTAAGGCCAAACCATGAGCAACAATACTCCTTCGTTGTAGGAGCAAAATACTGAACTAGTGAACTTTTTTTTTCCTATTAGAGATCTAATTAACAAACACTAACTGCAGCGTTTTTATATCTACACCTCAAAAATTATATTTACATACACCCCCCCCCCCAACCAAAGACATTACCCATTACATCTCGGACAAATTCTGGTGGAGGTCGAGGTGCCCATTCAGTCATTTTTTCTGGAATTGGAACTGCTTTGTCCTGCAATATATAAACACGAAAGCATTTTAAGTATAAACCTGCGGAGAGAGTCACATCTCTTCTAACCAAAGAATTTTAACTGGACTGGTGAAGTAAGGCAGCTTTGCTCCTAAGACCCAAAGCTGAGTTTATCTTCCCTCTGTCTTAGCTTTACTTCATCCTGTATACTTGTTGGGGTCTATCACAGCCCACAGCCTTGCCAGGGCTACACTTTCCAGAGGAGAACTCAGAAACCTAAGTCACCACTCATGGTTGGAAACCTCCAACTTTAACCCTACTGTAAGAAGAGAGTCAACTCTTTCTAGTCAAAGGCATAAGAGACTTTCTCATCCAATTATTTTTATGATTGAGGGGACCCAGGCTCGGACGGGGGGAGTGACTTGTCCCAGGTGTCTAGGCCAATGCCTCTCTAACAATCGGTGCCGCTTAGAAGAGAATAAACCCTTGTGCTAACCCACTGATTCCATCTTTCCAGTCTAACACTTCTGTTCATGGAAAGTTAACTGGAAAGGGTCTTAGAGCACGGGAAGCCGCTCCACAGCGCCCTCATCTAGGCGAGACTCTAACATAAGAACAGAGGAAGCTCCCTATCTCCGGGGTAGCCTACTCCTTCCTAAGGACTGGCCCTGGGGTTCGGGTACTAAGTTCCTGAGTTTGGAGGCGGAGGAGGTGGGCTCGCGGGCCCTCAAAGGCGCCCGAACGGAAGGGGATGAGACTCGGAGGGGCCGTCGAGCCCGCGCCCCGTCTCACCGGGTTCTTCATGAGCCGCTCCAGCTTGAGCTTCTGCTCCTCCGCCGCATTCTTGGGGATGACGAGCGCTTGCGGCTCTTTCTTGGGCCTCGGCGGTCGCACAGAGGAGGCAGCAGAGCTCGCCATGACACCCTACCTGCTTCCCTGGCGAGCGGCGGCTGCGGCACGCACGTATGACGACAGAACCGCGCGCCAGCGACGCAAGCGCAGTCCCCTAGGCGGGCAGGGCTGGGGCGGAGTCGCAAGCCGGAAGCAGGCTGCTGAATATTCATGAGCCCGTGGCCTGGTGGGTTATTTTGATCAACGCTGTTTGATTTCATTTCCTGTTTCTGAGCAAATCCCGGCAGCCGCAAGCTCACGTCCCTGCGGGGGAGGTGGCCCTGCATGCCCGAGGGTCCGGCCACCGCCGACCTCTCCAGTCCCCGTGCGCGCTGTGGCTCCGCCGGCGCCTCGCTAGTGGCTCTCAGCATCCCCTCCCGCCCCCGGGCCTTTGTCCTCGCCATTCCTTGGGTCTGGTCCGCTCGCCCTCCCATTTCTGACAGTCTATTTATTTAAAACAGCGCAAACAAGTCACTGTGAGCTCCCTGAGGACTGGGGCTGCGTCTCTTTTGTCCACGGGGCACCTAGCAAAAATCTACCTCGGTCGAGAGAAGGAGCCTTTCTTATGAGAAAAAGAAAAGCTGCTCCTCACATCTGGGAGCTGTCCTGGCACTTACAGCTAGGCCTTGGTGTTCTCTTGTTGGACGTAAACAATTTCCCAAAACACCAACATCACACAAGGCCATTCTGCGACCGTGATGGAGCAAGGCATAATCAAGACGTTCTGTAATCATGTTTGAACTCAGATGAAAACAAGATTATTGTTGGAACGAGAAAAAGACCAAACATTTTCCCCATTCTGGCTAATATGAATAACTGCTGCTTCTTTACAGCAGTAGCCTCCATTCATTCCTCCCACTTTAAATATTTATTAAGACATCCATTCATAGAATTGCCACCATTTCCTGACAGCATCTAATCCGAGTAGAAGCCCACTTACTTGAACCCTCTCCCAAATCACTTAATCCAAGCCCAAATTCTATAATACGTCCTCTTTAACACCCTCTTGTTGAAGTAAGTGCAGGCTTCCTCTTTGAAAGAGGCAATAAACCTGATTTGTTCAAGTACAGATGGGCCCCGGGTGGTCTTTACAATTGATGTTTTTCTTGTTTATCATTTGTTGCCCTCTAGAGAGTGGGAGTTCTGTCTTGTTCACTACTGTATTCCCAGTGTCTGGGGCAAGGCCTGGCTCACACAAGGCGCTAAATAAACATTAGCGGGATGACCCTGGGATCTTGGGGCCAGGCACCTCAGATACCACCGCTGCTGCCGCCTGCTCAGCCTGGTCAGCCCAGGACAGCTCTCCCACTGAGTGTCCAGGGGTCAGAAGGTGACCCCGTGACAGAGTGCTGTGTTAGTGCTCTAAGGCGATTCCTGACCACTTGATAGTGGTAGTTTTCCAGGGGCCAAGGGTGATGAATTAGGGGAAGTCCTTGAGTGGCCCAAGTCCGTCACTGGAACCTAGGGAGGGTTTGGCCTGGACATGGTCGTGGACGCACCACCCTACATCACACTCCCCAGCCACCTGGGGACCTCACTTTCCCCAAACATGCCACACACACAAAGAAAGATTTTACCCGGAGTCTCTTTTTCTCCCTAGAAAACTCCTACACATCCTTCTTAGCTTGGCTTAAATTCAACCTCCTCCATGAAGTCTTCTCTGATTGCCCCTTCAGCCCCCTCCTTCAGGCAGTCAGTTGCTCCCTTGTTGATGCTGCCCCTGCTCTGGGTCCCGACAGCTGGCATGTGGTAGTTACCACAGTGTGTCCTCACCATCTGCCTACCCACAAGTCTGGGAGGAGGGTTAAGCCAGAATCTCAGCATCTAATCCTGGCCTAGAATAGAGTGGTGCTTCCAGGATGCTTGCAGAACAGAGGAATGAGGGAGGGAGGAAAGGGGGGAGTCAACAGCTGCCTGAAAAAATAAATGAAGGATGAATGAATGTGTAAATGAGATGACCAAGTGATGGGTGAATGACTGAATAAGGAAGTTAAGTGAGTATGAGAAAGAATGAGTGAACACTCAATAATAGATGGATACTCCGTGGATGAATAAACACACAAAACAGTGGATTAGCAGAGAGTTACAGAGCCAGGAGGGCAGCCCTCTCCCTGGTACCCCCAGCTCAGGGTCTGGCACAGAGCTGGTGCTTGGCAGATAGCTGCCGGATGGAAGTTAAGTGAATGAATGCAGTGAATACGTGCACAAAGGTGGAGGAGAGTTAAGGCATATGCGCGTGAATGAGATGTAATAACAGCCTCAATGTCTAAGCCTGTCTAAGTGGTGTTGACATGTTTATCATCCTGATTTACAGATAAGGAATTGAGGCTCAGAGGGGTGAGTGACAGCTCAGGATCACACAGACTCCAGCCTAGCAGTCTGGCCCTGGGTCTGTAGGGGGCCCTGGGTCTGTAGGGGCCTGAGTGATCACATGACTCACGGGTGCCTGGACCAAGGCCTCCAGCAGACCCTGGTGGGGGCCCTCCATGTGGCACCCTCCTAAAGCTGAGGCCAGATTTGAGATCCTGCTCTGTAGGAGGAAAGGGCGCCTTCTCTTCCTCCCACCCCCACCACAGGCTGCCCCACAAGAGTGGACTCAGACTCGGGGTGCCACCCATTCGCCACCAGGGGGCAGCAAAGCTCCACCCAGGGCTACCTGCTGGCCCTGCCCCGAGGCCCGGAACTTGGCACCTAGGGAATAAGGGCTAGCCCTGGAAGACACCAGGGCTTTGGAGTCTGGCAGACCTGGTGCCGAAGTTTGGCTCCACCTATTCTGGAGTGTGGGCTGGGGGAGCAACTTAACCTCTCAAAAGCTATTTCTTGATGTGCAAGATGGGGACAAGCAAATCTACCCTTGACACCGGCCTGTGGACAAAATGATGTGACAGACGTACAGTGCCTGGCAAAGCACCTGACACTCAATAGTAGGGTGACCACCTTTCCCAGTTTGGTCCCAGGACTGAAGGGTTTCCCAGGACACACCACTGTCAGTGCTAAAACCAGGAGAGTCTCGGGCAAACCAGGACAGTTGGTCACCCTAGTGGGTAGATACGCCTACTTCAATCCTTTAAGTTGCGGTTGGGACTTAAAGAACTAAAACAGCAAAAATGTTTACAACTATTCCATAATTTGAATTTCTCATTGAATTCATGAATCAGTGGTCTTTCTGCAGTGGTCCTGCTGTCGATAACAAAAGAACAGTTCCACCAATGGGAATAAAAAGAAAAATGGAATACACTCACTTTAGAAAAGAGTTTGTCAGTTTCCCATAAAGATAAACGTACACATACCACACAACCAGCAGCCTCACTCCTGGGCATTTACCCTAGAGAAATAAAAATAGATGTCCACTGGAAGATCTGTATGTGAATACATACGGCAGCTTGATTCAAAGATTTTATTTATTTATTTTTCCCCCAAAGCCCCAGTAGATAGTTGTATGTCATAGCTGCACATCCTTCTAGTTGCTGTATGTGGGACGCGGCCTCAGCATGGATGGAGAAGTGGTGCCTCTGTGCGCGCCCGAGATCCGAACCCGGGCCACCAGCATCGGAGCACGCACACTTAACCACCAAGCCACGGGGCCAGCCCCGGCAGCTTGATTCACAATTACCAAAAACTGGAAACAACCCAGATGTCCATCAAATTGTGATATATAGTATATAGTAATATACTACTCAGCAATAAAAAGGAGGAAATTATTGATACTTGCAACCACATGGATGAATCTCAAAAGCATTATGCTTAGTGAATGAAGCCCAGATTTAAAAGTTACAACCTGAATGATTCCGTTACTTGGCATTCTGGAAAAGCCAAAATGACAGGGACAGAACACAGATCAATCAGCAGTTGCCAGGGGCTGCAGGTGGGCCTAGGGGATTGACTCTAAAGGGCTCGAGGGAATTTTTTGGGCGATGGACGTGTTGTACATCTGGATTGTGCTGGTGACATGAACACAGATGTTTGTCAAAATCATTAAACGAAACGCTTCAAAAGGGTGAATTGTATGAAAATTATACCTCAATACACTTGACAAAATAAACACAAGTCACCTTGCCAGGTTGCAGGGGAGCCAACCCCCCATTGCCTGGGTGGCTTTGGGATCACTGACAGCTTTTATCCCATTATGCCCACCTGAGAAGCTCAGAGCCTGTAAATCTACTCTGCCATGCCCTGTCCAATGTGGGCCAAGGGGTGAGTGGCAGTAACAGGCTTTCCAAAGCCCAGAAGCCAATGTGGATGAAGCCCCCACACTTATGCCTCTGGGCCCTGCACACCTATGGGGCAGCGGCTTGGCTGGTCAGCACCCACAGGCCAGGGCTCTTTCTGAGCCAGGCCACATTGAGCAATGGTATGAGGTTCTTAGAGCTGCAGCTGGCACGACTCCCATCCTTCAGAGCTCCCAGTCTGACTCACTACATTACCTTTCTAACACAAATGCATAAAGATACATGCACCCCTGTGTTCATTGCAGCATTATTCACAATAGCCAAGACTTGGAAGCAACCTAGGTGCCCATCAAGGGACAAATGGATGAAGAAGCTGTGGTATATATACAGAATGGAATACTACTCAGCCACAAAAAAGATGAAATTTGGCCATTTGTGACAACATGGATGGACCTTGAGGGTATTATGCTAAGCCAAATAAGTCAGAGGGAGAAAGTCACATACCATATGATCTCACTCATAAATAGAAGACAAAAACAACAACAAACAATCACATAGAGACAGAGATTGGATTGGTGGTTACCAGAGGGGAAGGGGGGAGGGAGGAGGGCGAAAGGGATGATTAGGCACGTGTGTATGGTGATGGATGGTAATTAGCCTTTGGGTGGTGAACATGATGTAATCCACACAGAAATCGAAATATGATGATGTACACCTGAAATTTATACAGTGTTATAAACCATTGTTACCTCAATAAAAAAAAAAAAAAGAATTAGAAAAAAAATAAATATGCTTAAAAAAATAAAACCCTTAAAAAAAATAAATTACCTTTTTATCCATGAACCTGGACCCCCAAGGTTGGGAGACTCCATAGTCTGCTGATTGAAGGACCCAGTAGGAGAGATACAT